GGTGATGTGACTTTCCCCTAGCCACACAGCAGGGTAAGGACAGAACTGGGTTTTAGAACAGGACACTGCGGGATCCCTGGGTGGCACAGTGGTTTGGCGGCTGCCTTTGGCCCAGGGCGTGATGCTGGAGACCTGGGATCGAATCCCACGTCGGGCTCCCGGTGCATGGAGTCTGCTTCTCCCTCTGCCTATGTCTTTGCCTCTCTCTCTCTCTCTCTCTCTCTCTCTGTGTGTAACTATCATAAATAAATAAAAAAATAAATAGAACAGGACACTGCTTTTCTACAAGCAGCTCGCCATAAGTGCAGCCTTGGATCTCCTATAGAGCTACTCCTAATGGTCTTCCTGAAGTACTCCAACAGTTCATGACCTTTGGCTCATCCTAGTTTCAAAGTAACTGCCTTTGTTATAGTTCAGTATTAAGTAGGTCTTGAATATTAAAGATAGGTATTTAGTTTTTGTGGTATAATAACACTCTCATAACCAAACCATTGCATTCCCTATCCAGTCTGCATTTGTGTTTATAACGCAAGGCACAAGTCCATAGCCGGCAGTCAACAATGTTAGATGAATGGCCTCTTGGAGGCCTATTAAGGAATCATATCATTTTAGATCTGAAAGAAACCACCAAGGTCATTCAGTCTCACTTCTCCTGTCTTCTGTAGCCTGAAGAGTAATAGGACTTGGGCAAGTAGCAAAATGGTACTAGTTTACCCTGTTTCCCAGACCACTGTTCACATTTTTGACCTGCACTGCCTCTCATTAATTTAACACGAAGGCATTAAAATAGCCAATGTACTTGTGTATACAAGTATTGGCGTACTGTATACTTGTGTACTGGTATACAAAATAGAAGTTTCTAACATTGGGATCCCTGGGTGGCTCAGCGATTTAGCACCTGCCTTCGGCCCAGGGTGTGATCCTGGAGACCGGGGATCGAGTCCTGCATCGGGCTCCCTACATGGAGCCTGCTTCTCCCTCTGCCTATGTCTTTGCCTCTCCCTCCCTCTCTCTCTCTCTCTCATAAATAAATAAAATTATAAAAAAAATTTAAAAAAAAGAAGTTTCTAACATCTACTGTAAAAACACTACCCCATACAAAATGATAGGGAAAGGTTTAAAAAAATTTTTTTAGCCATAAGGAATTTGATCATTCAGAGGAAGAGCAGAAACTCATCCTAAATCACTATAGACAGTAAATCTGAAATTTGAAGCAGTAAACTATTCTATTTTGGGAACAACAGATATAAAGTCAGGAAGAGTTAGGCATTCCAAGAAGGAAATTATATAGAAAAGCTTACTATTAAGTCAGCTCTCAGAAGTATTTGAATGCAAAGGAGATTAATATGGAGAAGGGGAAGGTATGGGCACTTAGCAGATAACAAATGGCACACTCATGCCATAGAGAAAGCAAAACTTTTAGCTGAAATGGTACTTATGGGAAATAAATTCAAACCTCAGATGTTTTTAGTCAGGAAGTCTCATTAGGATGCAACACAGATTCTCATTATGGGTTATTACATAGTGTCACTAAAAAAAGGAGAGACATCTGAGAGGGACAAGGCGTGATCAAATAGCCATATGAGAAATTTCAGTCTTGCTGTATCTTGCTCTATGTTAATATTGGATCATTTGATGGTATTCTCTCAACAAAAAGGACTTCAGAGTGACAAAAACAGATTAAAAGTGATCTAGAGTGAAATGACAGCTGTTAGGGTAAAGTTCTTTTGAGAAGCTTATGTATATTTTATTCATCGACTTATTTATTCATTCAACAAATATCTATAGAGTCCTAGGAAGACAAAAATAAATAAGATAATTGTCTTTCTCAAGGAGGTTTCAAGAAGACAGATATGTAAATAAATCATTGTAATGTAGTGTGCTTGGTACTTTATTTGAAGAACAGCCCAAACACAGTACAGCCACGAAGGAGGGGCTGGGAAGACCTTATAGAGGAGAAGATATTTTTCACCAGGATTTAAAGGAAGAAGAGTGGGACGCCTGGGTAGCTCAGTGGTTGCGTGTCTGCCTTCAGCTCAGGCATGATCTCATGGTCCTGGGATCGAGTCCCACATCGGGCTCCCCACAGGGACCCTGCTTCTCCCTCTGCCTATGTCTCTGCCTCTCTCATGAATAAATAAGTAAATAAAATAAAATCTTTAAAGGAGGAAGAGTTTGTCCAGCAAGTTGTAGGAAAAGTGGGAAAGGAGAAAGCCTTCTAGGGTGAGGCATCAGCTTCTGCAAAGCACTTAGTTGTGGGGGGATTTAAAATCCCCAGTGAGGCCCCGTGCAGCTGTTGATGGGCTGTGGATTCTTACATGAATGACTGCACTGCCTGGAGCCTCAGTTTCCTTCTGTGAAAAAGGAGCATGGGTGTCCTCACCATGTGCATGGATTATAGGCACGACTAAGTGCTGGGTAGCAGACAATGAACACTGTTATATCTCTAGTCACTCTTTTCAGAAGATCCCTAGATTTCAGGTATTCTTACCTATGCTCCCTTTGCAGAGGAAGAAACGGAGAACGGAGGGGTTGTAGAACCTTCTCACACTGACACGGCTTAACAAGAGGCTGTGTTGGGCATTGAGGAAAGGCAGTTTGGCTCAAGACTGTATATTTTAGCACTACACTCCATGGCTTTCCTATGTGAAATGCTATGTGTAAAGCACTTAACACAGTGCCTGGCACACAGTAGTACATTAATAAATCGTAGCTATTTTTACAATTGTGAAATATGATGTGCCCTAGGAACGTAAGGTATTTGCTGTAAGGTAATAGAATGATGTCTAGACAGTGCTATAGCCATATCAAGTCAGATTACTGAGGGCTTCATGCCACGCTAAGCACTTAGGATTTTATCACAGGGTCGAGAAGAGACAATGAAGGTCTCTCAAGCAGGAGAGTGACTTGCCAGATTTGTGATTTGAAAAGATCCCTGGCAGCATGTGGAAGAGGAATTGCAAATAGACTAGACTAGAGGCATAGACTTCAGCTTTGATGGTGAGGCCTCACCTAAGTAAGGCACAGGCAGCAAGCAAGATGAAGAGGAGGAGACATGGATAAGACGTGTTATGGAAATAGTGTTGACTGGACTTAGCTACCAGTAAGATAATGAGGGCCAGGAAGAAGGAAGAGTCTAGAAATCCCCCCTGGTTTAGGTTTAAGTGCCACTACCATTAGAGATATGGAAGCAATGCAGAAGGGCAGTTTAGGGGGAAAGTTGTGGTTTAGTTGTGGCTCTTTTGAGACTGGGGCACCTGAAGAGGATTCAGGAGATGTCCAGCTGGCAATTAGGTTTCTGGGTTTGGAGCACAGAAGAAGGATGAAGCCATGCATCTGATAGAATTGCTCAGTGAGAGGGAAGAGGTAAAAGAGATCAAGAAGGGACATGAGGAGCATTGGCATTTAAACAGCCAGCAGACAAGGAAGGCTGAAGGAGAAGAGCAATCAGAATGGGAACCTGGGCAGAGTGGGGACCCAGGAGCCAAAAGGTAAAATTGTTTGCCCATTAAATCTCCTGAAAAAGCAGATGCTTCTGGCATAGGCAGCTAGGACACGGAGACGGAAAGGAAAAAATTCCATGGGCAAAATCTATACACATTGGCCAAGAGGCTTGAGTTCTTATTTTCCTTTCTGCCAGGTGCCTCCCTTAGTCCGTAATAATTTGCTTTAGGGAGAGTAATTTGGTTATTAATCTTTATTTACAACACATAATTAAAAAAACTAAACTCTAGAGATCATTGTAGATGCACTGGAGTTGTAATAATGTGGACAGGTACAACACTTAAATTTTTTGGAGGCTTACTTTCTTTCCATAATGGCTTCAGAACTTTTCACTTTTTTATCCATTTTTTCCCTAATGGTGCTTATCCAAAGGCAGAATTTGGTACACTGTGTCTAGAGTGGAGACGGGTGGGGAAGCAGACCCCAAAGAATGAAGGGCTAACTCAGCCTAGATCTGGGTGGCAGAGGAGCTGGGGCACTGAGAGAAAAGAGATCTTTGAGGCACTGAGAGAAAAGAGATGTTGCAGGTTGGTTAGGAGGCCTTTCAAAGACAGCCTCTGAGGAGAGAGGTTTGGAAAAGAGGCCTGGATTTGGAAGTAAAAGAGAAGAGGTAGGTGCTGGAGTGCTGTTCTTCACCTGGGCCAGGTAGGCTCCAATGGCTGCGATGCTGTTTTTGTTTTTTTGATGGACACGTTTATTAACTTAAATTTGTGCTTCATTCCATCACCAGAACGATCTAACATACCAACCTGATGGTGCCCCTTCCCTACTCAGAACTCCGTCTACCTCTCCTTCAGCTCTCAGCTTCTGTCCTTCCCTCATTGGGATGCTCTCATTTTGGGGTCTTTGTTCCTGTGGCCTCTGCCTAGAAAGCTCTCTCCACACTCCTCCCTTTCACTGGCCAAGCTCCTTGGTCTTTCTAGGTTTCTGTAAAGAGGAGGCCTTCTTCCCTGGCTCAGACAATGTAGTTGCCCAGCGACGGCACCCTGGGATCACAAGAAGTGCCCTGTATTAACAGCCCATTAGACAGTACATTCCAGAGGGCAGGGAGAACGCTTAATTCGAAGCTGCATCTCCAGTGTCTAACATGGGGCAGGGATCTAGTAGGCGTGGAACAGATGTTTCAGCAAAGAAAAGAGGTCTTGGACAGAGGTATGCATTTGGGAAGGATAGAGAGGTGGTAGGACCGGAGCCAGAGGAGTCGTTAAGATGGCCCAGGGAGTCTGAAGAGGGCTGAGTGCAGAGTCCCAGGGCACCCCAGCATTTTAGGGCTTTGGGGTTTGAGGAGCCCTCGAAGAGACCAAGAAGGAAAGAGCAGGGAAGTTGGGGTCACTTGCATCCCTCAGAGTCCTACATAGCCGGAGTTCTTCGAGAGGCCTTGGAGTATGACAGCCAGGAGAAGGGTGGGGTGAGAAGGCCGTGCCTGGAGACTGGGTTACAGTTCTGGAACGCCGCGGGGCTGGGTGACCTTGGGGAGCCCCTTCCCTCTCCTGGCCTCAGTCTCCCCGTGGGTACTCCGCGGACGCTGCGTGCCCAGGTGGGGAGCCGCCGAAGGCCGGCGGAGGCAGGCCCGGGTGGGAGCGGGACCGCCCACTGCGGCGGGCCGGGACCTCCGGGGCCCGCGGAGGCGGCGCGCGGGGCTCCTCCCCCGGGGCGAGGGTCGCGGCGCCGGCAGCTGGCGAACCCGCAGCTGCAGCCTCAGCACCTGCCGCGGCCAGACGGCGCGGGCGCGGCCGGGCCCTGCGCCCCCGCGCCCCCCCCCCACCTCCCGCTGCAGCCGCGGCGCGGGAGGCGGAGCCCGAGCCGAGCCCGAGCCGAGCCGCTGCCCGAGCCTTGCCCGCGTCCGTGCCCGCCGCCGGGCGGGGCCGCCCCTCGCCGAAAGCGTCAGCTCTCCGGGTCCGCGTCCGCGCGGGCGGCGCCTCCTCTGCAGGTAAGGGCGAGGTCCCGGCGCCGCAAAGTTTTGGGGGCACTGACGGTCCCCACGCCCCGGGCCTGCGCCTGCCCGAGCCGCTGGCCGCCTGTCCCTCGGCTTCCTCCGCGCCGCCCTCCGCCGTGCGCTCCGTTTGCACCGCCGGCCGCGGGTGACCCGCGCCCGCCTCCAGTCCTCGTGTCCCCATCCCTGTGGGAGGCGCGCCCGCGGGCTCGCTCCGGGCCTGCAACAGTTAAATTTCTCACAGTATCAGTGTGTTGCTTAAGTTTTTGAGATCTGCAAAGAGCGGCAAACCGGGAGGCGGGAGACCAGGGTTCAGGTGCGGCCGCGGCCAGCGCCAACTTTCTGAGTGACCTCGGACCAGCCAGCCCTGCCCCGTCTCTGGACAGCCACGCCTGGACCAGGAGGGGTTCGCCAGGGATGATCATCTGAAGTGCATGCCGGTGTTGCCATTTTGTGAGTCGGGGCACCCCTGAGTGTCTCAGCTCCAGGGCTCCCTGGGGCGCGGGGATAGAACCCACTGAAGTCAATCTGGGGCGGGGTGGGCCATCACGTTGCTAACCAGCAGCAGTTTGGGCTGAGCTGCAGGAGGGTTGTTGAGTCAGTCTCTGGGAATAGAGGGTGTTCCCAGAGCTAGGAGTCCGGGCTCTGGGTTTTGGTGACCCCTCTGCCACCCATGGACTGTTTGACCTTGGGCAAGTCCCCCCACTGGTTTTGCCGCCCACGAAGTGGGGAGGGAGGAATGTGCACTAGATGATGGTTGTGGTCCTTCCGCTGTAAACTCTGGAGAAATAGAGTCTTCCAGGTCTCTCTATTTAGGGTCAGTTTGGAACTCTCACAGTTTTGGAACATCCACTGATAGCACTTGCAAATGGGAAATAAAGGCAGCATTTGCAGTATGCTTTGGGAGTCTCAAAATAGACATGGCAAGGATTGGTGAATGCTGCCCTTCCCTCCTTCAGTGCTTTGGACCATCATAAAATATTCAACAGCATAATGATTTGTTTTCAGAGTGGCTTATAGATCAGGAAGCATTTCTGTCTGTGAGTTGGTTATTTTTGTTAAAACCTCAAAATAATTTGAAGAAAAAAAAATACAGCACCATTGTAGGGGTCCTGACATAGAGGCCAGTATCTACCTGTTCCTAGCCTAAAGTGATGTTTTCCAGTCAAGATGATGTAGAAAAACACTCTGAATCAAGTACTTTTTGGTGTGTGTTCAACATAGGCATGGTTGGAGAGGCCTACAGTTTGGCAAGTACCTATTTTCTGGAACAGGTGCATTCTGGTGCAGCCAGAAGGAGAACTCTCTCATGCAGGAGAACGAGCATGAGGTAGTTAACCCATGTCCTTCAAAGTGAGCTTTGTGCTTTTGCCCAATCTCCTGTCCCCCTTGTGCTGCAATTAGCGTCTCCCCAGTGTGTGAGTGAAATCTGCTACTGTGAAAGGGTTCTTATGGAAGTGATTTTATTATTTTATTTCCTTCCTAGACTTCCTGGTTTTAAGTTTCAAGCTTAATGAAATCAGAGAACTAGTAATAGTGCCCTTTGTGACCAGGGCAGGAAAATAGCAGAGTTGTGGTACATATGTTTGCCTTTTCCCAGCCATACTCTGTAGTGGAATCTCATTTGTCCGGAGCCTCTGATAGCTCAGATGCATTAGAATGCCACCAGTCACTTCCCTCTTCCTTCTTCAGTGGTTGGGTTTGGCAAGTGCTTTCTCACCACTCCTTCGGGAGGAAACAAATAGGAAAAACACCAATAGGCCCTCCCCTCAAGATGCTCAGGGTCTAGTGAGGAAGAAGGAGGAACATACCACAGGCCATTCTGGGAGTATTCCTGGGGGACCTCTGGGAACACTGAGGAGTGTGGATTTTAACTGGGGTTAATGGGGAAGACTGTGTCTTGGAAGGTGGAAGGAGGAAGAGGATTTCAACAGGTGGTGGAAAGTGGAAAGGCCATTTTAGGTCAAGGAACTGGTGTGAGCAAAGGTACAGGGTCAGGAGAACTCAGGGTCCAAATGGAGAACAGTGGGTCAAGTGGAAGTGAGGGGAAGGCAGAGCACAGAGTGGAGCATTGTGGGGTGCAGGAGGCTCTGAACCTGGGCTTGAATCCACACTGATTTGGGGGATATTGGGCCTCTGAGCCTCACTTTTCACATTTGCAGAAGGGGAATTATAATTCCAAATATACAAGGTTAAATGAGATCATGTATAAAGTGCCTAACAGAGTGTTTGTATAATGATAGACACTTGATAATCGTGCCTTTTATTAGAGTGTTCATGGGCAAGCTCCATAAGTGTTGCTAGACACCAATAAAGTGAATGAATGGTGCCTTTTGTTTTAGCATAGGTATTGACTTGGAACCTCACCATCAGACTGGAGTTCTTGTGACAATGCAAGGGCAGGGGCTTTTTGTCATTTGGGGGTGCTCAGATCAGACGCTGACATCAACAGCAGACAATGCTCTGTAAATACTGTTAGGTGGTGGGAGGCCACAGAGAAGTTAATCAGAACACGCAATCCCTGCCTCCCATAAGCTTATCACTATGTGCTCAAGGACCCAGGTGGGGGGATTTGACAGTCAGACACAGTTATAAATATATCAGCATTGTCCATATATGCTGGGAACCGGGCGCCAGCTCCCATCTGCCTTAGTGTGGGTTGCTGGGGATTTGTAGTAGCCAAGGACGGAGAATAGGACAGGAGGGTGAAGAAGGACACTGCAATACTTTGTGAATCTGTGCCCACCACATGGCAGCCATTCTACCGCCCTTCATTTGTTCATGGAACACTTATTCACAGAACACCTTCTCTGTGCCAAAGAATGATTCTAGGTGCCCCAGGAATACACTGGAACAAAAGGGAAGATCCCTGCCTTCCTGGAGTTTATATTCTAATTAGAGGAACATAGTAAACAAGTAAACATATAAATAATTACAAATTGGCTAAGAGCTGGGAAGGAAACAAGCAGGGTAAAGTGAGAGAAGGTAATGGGAGTGGCGAAGGAAGGTCTGTTGAACCACTGGGAGCTAAAGGAGACAAGGAGCCAGTCCAGACTAGAGCTGGGGGTAGGAATGGGGGTGGCATGCAGTCCAGCTCAGTAAGAGGCAGGGTCGCTTTGGTGTGAGAACACAGGCTCTGGGCCATGGTGTCTGTATTTGAATACTGGCCCCACTGACAACTAAATATATTCCATTGTCAGGTTATTTAATCTTCTGGGCTTCAGTTTCTTTGACTGTAAACTGGGCATAATAACCCTACTTGATAGAGTTGTTTGGGGATTAAATGGATTGATATATGTAATGTACTTGAAATAGTGCCAGGTATGTAGCAAGCACCAAATGAAAGTTAAATTAAGAGGGCGGGGGGATGGGGAGAGGTGGGGCAAGGCAGCAAATGCAAAGACCTGGAGGCCTGAAAGGCTTTGTGTGTTCTAGGACCAGATAGGCTGTGTGCATGGGTATTATCACTACAGTTATGGGGATACTCCAGAGTAGGTTCTCTGCTCCTTCAATACAAAGCTATGTTTTAGGAATCCTGAAAAGAAGAATACCCAGCCATAGCATGGTCAAGCCTAGAGTGGCATGGTGAGCTGCTGCCCACTTTGGGAACATCCCACTGTAGACCTCCTTCAGTACCTTTCCCTCCTTCCCTTCCTCTCTCCTTTTGTTACCCTCCCTCTCCTGCCCCTTCTTCCTTTCCTCTCTGTCCCTACCTCCCTCGCCTTCTCCCCCGCTCCCCCATCTCCTCTCACTGTAAACCCTGAAGAGTAGTACCCCTGGATTGCTCACTGATGTGCAGAGGGGAAGCCTGCTGAGTGGCACCAAAGCCAGCCTTGCCCACTTGCTGTGTGATATTCTCTGGCCAGCAGTCTTCCCCTCCCACCCTGGAAATTCCATGGTAGTGGGGGCAATGTGGGGGGTGCTACATAGTCACCCACAACCTTATTCTCTCCCTTGATCCCTCTTTATTGAAATCCAGTCACTCACCAAGTCCTGTCATTTTGACTTGTGAAATCTCCCTCAAACATGTCTCCACATTTTCATTCCCTCTCTGAACATCAGACTTCTGTTTTGTCTAATGTATGGCCCAGAGACCTTCAGTGGATCCCTTGTGTGTGGATAATGAAGTCCAGAGTCATCAGGCCCGCAGACATGAAGGCTGTCTCCATTTATTCTCTCAGTCCCCCTCCTCCCTCACCGTGTCCTCCACACTTAATCCCTCCAGCCATTGCCTCTCCATCTGGCCCCTCTGCCTCATGTACCTCAGCCCTGGTGATCCTGCCCACGCCTGAGGGCCCAGCTTAAACCCTGTATGTCCTGGCAGCCGTCTTCTAGACCCCCTCGTCCCAGGGTTCTCGTCTGCCCCTGCTCTTCCCCTGCATTTAGTACATCTCGTAGGGGAGCCATTGCTGTCAATCGTGGAGGATTTTGTGTGCCGTCACTTATGCATGTGGCAATGGCTTTGAGAAGTCCCTGGGAGGCCAGACACAATGTCCCTCTTACCGCCGCCTCACAGTCCTTCTCATAGACCCTAGCCCTAGTGCGAGCTTGATATGTGTTTGCTGCAATGGATTGACAAAAGCCTGTGATTTTCCTGAGATCTGAAATGATTTGAGTCATGCCAGAAACATGATGCTGATGCTCAGGGCTTGTGGTCCCCAGTTGAACTCACTTGAGGCATTCTGATGCCTTGAAATGTAGGCCCTTCATTTGATGAAGAGTTGATGTTAACTCAAACAGGAGTCTAATTTTAATTTAGCTTTTGAATGTGGCCAACTTTTAATAAATATACTGTGCAAAAAAGCTAGATAATCTCATCAATAATTATTTATATTATGAAAGGATTTTTCTCCATACCAAAAGAAAGCTGGTATGGAAAGCTTTCAAATATCCAACATGGGGCAGCCCAGTGGCTCAGCGGTTTGGTGCCGCCTTTGGCCCAGGGCATTATCCTGGAGACCTGGGATTGAATCCCACTTTGGGCTTCCTGCATGGAGCCTGCTTCTCCCTCTGCCTGTGTCTCTGCCTCTCTCTGTCTGTCTTTCATGAATAAATAAATACAATCTTAAAAAAAAAAAACAAAAACATCATGCCTGTGAACTTAACGTTATTCAGTATATAAAATTTTGATTTATGCACAGCTGTTGTAGCCATACTTCTACTATAGTCTAGGATATACACCAAACTTAATATGCATTCATAGAAGAATAATGATGTCTT